CCGGCTTTTTTCTTTTTGCTTATGTGGTGCTGAGGAATCAAACCCAGGGCCTCAGGCATGCAAGGCAAGCGCTCTACCACTGAGCCACCTTCCCAGCCTGAAAGTAAACTTTTTCTAGAAACCATTTTCATTTAATTTTACCTACCTCAAAAGGAATCCAAGTTTTATAAGACTAAACTGACTGGCCTTCTGTTCATTGTTTAATTATATGAATCACTAATATGTAAAGTATTGAGCTTACATAAAGACAAGAGTTAACTATGAATGGTTATTATTATTCAGGTATATTACATGCTAATAATTTATGCAAATTATGAAATAATAAAACTTAAATATGAAATCAATATACTCATCACTTAGGTAGTCATCAGTTTTCCAATTTTTCCTCTGGAAGTAGAGTTTCACCAGCATCACGATCAAGATGCAGAGAATAATGAAAAATGGAATGATCAAGAAAAATGGCCACCTGGGAGGTTTGGGATGGTAAACACTCTCAAAATACTGCCTTCCTGTGAGAAACAAATGCTTGGGATTAGAAAGCAACCAGCAGGAATATAATAAAGATATTTCTGAAGTTTATCAGGATGACTATAATAAATTTTTTAAATCAACTTTGACACTTCGCATATTTTATATGAAGGAAGAAGGTCAGTGGTCTAATGACCCCGAGCAAGCCGTCTGAGGCTCACACAAGAGTCCTACCCCTGGCTTTTTCACTGAGAAGCTGCTAGTCCTGAAAGTCTCCATCTGATAATACAGATGAAAAGAATTAAAGGGTGATCCCTGTAGGACTTGTTCCTTTATTCTCAAACTTTTTGTCGTGAAAAATACCAGACACACAACAGTTTGACCTAGTCTAAATCAACTCTTCTTCCATTGAAACGATCCTTCTTTTTTTTTTTTTCCTCACATTTTGTCTATGTTGTTGTTGTTTATCCCAAGATCGTGAAGAACTCTCCATGTGTCTTTCTACACTGTGCGGTTTCCATGGGGAGACGAAAGACACCGTTCACGGACCTGTTTCAGAGCTTGTTAAATATGCTGGGCTTTTGTGGGTCGTTGGTCTTATCCAAATATCCAAGTGCTTCAGTTCAATTCGTTGGCTTTTCCCTCCCTGAGTGGCTCCAGTCCAGTAGGTGTATTTCTAAACCCTCACCCCTCTGTGAGTTTGTCATTCTCCTTCATCAATGCCACACTATCCTGCTCAATGGACCTTTGTCCAAAGTCTGTACTATATTATAGTTATTTTTGTAAATTCAGTAGAAGGCAGATGGATTTGCACTGCTTGCTTGTGGTTATTCTTGATTGTTCTTTTGCAAGTCTGTTTGGCTCATCTAAGCACTTCCTTGTCTATTTTAGTTACATGTTGCTATGATTGGTACTTTCAATCTATAGACAGCGAATTAATTAAACTTAGAGTATAATCAACCTTTTAATAAATAGTATCATGCACAGGTTATACAATGTGTCTGTATTGTTTATTAATTTATTTAATGAATTTCATTTTTGTATTAGTCATTAAAATTGTAGACTTAATTTGGTGCAAATTGACATATTAGAATTAATAAGCTTTTCAATAGGTAAACATGTCATAGATCCCATTTATTTGGATATTTCTATTTATTTATGTATTTAATTTGGGTATTTCTAGCTTCATATCTACACTTCAGTGTAAGAATCTTCTACTTATGCCTGATCACTAGATAGAATGAATGGAGGACCAGCAGAATGGATGAAGTAGCTGTGGAGTTTCTCACCATCCTCTCCAGCTTCACCTGTAGGGGCTTGTGTTCTTTAAACCTCTACTCATGGAAGAGCCCAGACCCTGCTATCCAGCCCAACCATGGTTATTGTCATGCGGTGTATAGATCAGGTTCAGGTCCGGGTAATATGACTTCTGCATATTATCCCTCCCTAGCCCTTAGAAGGGGTAGTAGTGTCTTGTTGGCACCTGGGCTGTTTTGCCATTCTCTGGTTAACTTTTCATTTTTCCCATTGTGTGTTTCCTGGTGCTTCATATTGAATTCCTTCTGTTACAGGACCAAACAATATCTATTTTCCTCCTGGTTCTCTCTCATTATATACAGATAATAAATATATTATAAAATGTTTTATGTGATTGTATATGTATAAAGTCACATATATATCACATATATTATAATATTTTATCCTCTGGTAGTAAAACATAGATAGCCATATATAGTTTGAGGCCCACACATGATCTAACCATAAGCTGATATACTCTTAGTAAAGTACAAGGCTATTTTAATTCTGTCTTCATTTGCTCTGACTACTTACCAGAGATGGGACTCTCCATTGGGTGATTGCCACTGTTGATGCTCCCGCCCGGCCAATCCTCATTTGTATTTGCGCAGTTCGGGGGCAAGTACTTGGCCTCGCAGTGACAGTTCTTCTTGTTATTGCATACCTGAGAGCAGGCAGCGCCACGTATAAGACAGGTGCAGATGTATCCAAGGAGGATCAAATAATAAGGATTAGGTCAGATAGAGCTGATTTTCCTGTGTGTCATATGGAAGAGGAGAGAAAGCAAGAGTGGGTAATAAGAGAAAGAGAGGAGAGCGTGAGTGTGACAAAGAGAGCTTGCAAGAGAGAGCGTGAAAGAGATACGAAGAGACAGAGAGAGATCTGAGCACTGGCTTTCTTGAGATTAGTCTTAACTCATTTATTTTCTTGCTCATGGTTCTGATACTTACACCACGATTGTTGCAATTTTGTGGTGTGCAGTCATAATTCAAATATGAATTTTCTACACATTCCTTATTCCTGCAAACCTAAAAAGGCAAGCCAAAAGTTTGTTTATAGGTCATCTAGACTTGCCATTCACTTAGAAGTCTTTTATGTTACATCAAAGTAAAACAAAACCCACAGTGAAATATTGCCTCATCCCAGTTAGAATGGCTATTGTCAAAAGACAAACAGGTCCTGGCAAGATTTGGAGAAAGAGGAACTCTTACATATTGCTTTGGAAATGTAAATGAGTATAACTATTTTGTAAAGCATTACAGAATTTCTGTGAAGAACAAGAAACAAAGGAAGAAAGAAAGAAGGAAGGAAAGGAAGGAAGAAAAGTACGAAAGAAAAAAGAAAGAAAGAAAAAGAAATGAAAAGCTACCAGAATGTTCAACAATTCAACCAGGCACTGGTGGCTCACACCTGTAATTCTAGCTACTCAGGAGGCTGAGATCTGAGGATTGTAGTTTAAAGCCAGCTGGGGCAGGAATGTGCATAAGGCTCTCCAATTAATCACTAGAAAACCAGAAGTGATGCTATGGCTCAAAGATACAGAGCACTAGCCTTGAGCAAAGAGCTCAGGGCCTGAGTTCAAGCCCCATGACGAAAGAAAGAAAGAAAGAAAGAAAGAAAGAAAGAAAGAAAGAAAGGAAGAAAGAAAGAAAGAAAAAAGAAAGAGAAAGAAAGAAAGAGAAAGGATGGATTCAGTAATTCCACTCTTGAGTGTATGTGTGTGTATGTGTGTGTGTGTGTGTATGTGTATAAATCAATATGGCAAAGGAATATAAAAGAATCAATATGGCAGTTTATTTACAACAGCCAAGAAACAGAATCCACTTAAATGCTCAACCATGGATAAATGGATAAACAAAAATTTGATATATTTGTATCTATCTTTCCATATATCTATCTATCTATCTATCTATCCTCTGTCTATTATCATCTATGTATCATGTCTATCTACATATATAGAATGCTATAAAAATAATGGAATCTTGTTATTTGTGACAACATGAATGAACCCAAAGGACATTATATTAGGTAAAATAAGTTTTGAACAGAAGGAAAAATACAATGTGATCTCAATCCTATGTGAATTTGAAAAAGCTAAATAAAAGTTGCTGGTAGAGTGATGGCTGGTGACCAGAATCAGGAGATGCTACGGAGGAGGGTGAGTTACAATGTCACACGTAGAAAGGAGGAGTAAGTCCTGACCCTGTGGCAGAGTAGGTACCCTATGGAGGCTGGAGGATCTGTTCAGCTGAAGAGCTCTTGTCCTTCTCTTTGAATAATTTCACAATGAAGAAAAGACAAAGGTTTAATGTTGAGATATACTATTTACTCTGATTTGATCATTACACATATTAACGGATATTTCAAAATTTTGCCTTGCACCCCTAAATATGTGCAAGCATTATGTATCAATAGAATAGTAATAAGAAACTTTCCTAATACCGAGCCCATCTATAGACGCTGGGAAAGGTGGAAGTCTTTTCAGATGCCCAATTTTCAATAACAAAAAACCTGTCAAGGTACAAAAAGGAACAGAAAAAACACAGCAGAAGATAAGGAAGTGGCAGAGGTTGATTTAAAATGGCTGAACTTGATGTGTCCAAGGACCTCACAGGAGGAGACACGGAAAATGAGAATATCAACCAAGAGATTGAATGATAAAAAGGAACCAAAAGATGCTGAAAACATTCAGTAGATGGGTTGGATAGCAGGTTTGAACATCTAGAAGAAAGGATCAATGAACCAGAAGATTCAATACTTGACATTAATGATTCTGCAAAGCCAAAGGAAAACAGTGAAGAAAAATTAACAGAGCCAAAGGAACTTACACAGAACCAAATTACTGTATGTAAGTATATATATATATATATATATATATATATATATATATATACTTTTTTTTTTGTCAGTCATGGGTCTTGAACTCTGGGCTTGGGTGCTGTCCCTCAGCTCTTCAGCTCAAGGCTAGGGCTCTACTACTTGAGCCAAAGTGCCACTTCCAGTTTTCTGGTGGTTTATTGGAGATAACAGTCTCACGGACTTTCCTGCCCTGGCTGGCCTTGAAGCGTGATCCTCAGATCTCAGCCTCCTGAGTAGCTAGGATTACAGGCGTGAGCCACCAGTGCCCAGCCCAAATTACTCATTTTTGAGTCATTAATAAGTGGGACAAAGAGATTATTTGAAGAAATGATGGCTGAAATGTTCCTGTAGTTGAAATCCATGGATCTACAGATCTCACAAACAAAATGAGCACAAATAAGAATGAAGGAACTCAAATGCAGAACCAGCTCTATACACTGTACAGTCTGTTCTCAGAGAATCTAGACAGCAGTTTGTGATAGGTCCTCACCATAAATTAAGCGACAAAGAAGGAAGGGACAAAAAGTCTAGGAAAGATGAAGAGAGATTGTTTTTATCTGCACATAACATGATTAATTATGCAGAAAACCCTAAGAAATCTACAGCGAGTGCCTTTCAAAAGATCAGTAGGAACAATCGATATACAAAAATCAATTGTATTGCTACAACTGGGAATAGAAATCAACTTTAACTCAGGACTTTTTAAAATGCTATCACAATACAAAAATACTAGGAATAAATGAAACCAAAGATGAGCAAGAGACTTACATGAAAATTGAAAAAAAAATGCAGGTAAATGAGAAATGTACAAATAAATGGGGAAATACAACATGTTTATCTATTGGAGGGCATATTAATGCTAATATGTCAGTTCTTACAATCTACAAATTAATGATTAATACAAATTTGAAATTAATTAAATAATTGTTAAGACAAATTTATATTATGTACTTATTATATACTTATACATGATATTATTTACTTAAAGACTAATTATACTCTACGTTTAGTTAATTCTGTAAAGGAATAAGCTGGAAATAAAACAAAAGGTGAGGCAGTGGGGTGGGGGGAGAAGTGAGGGAGGTGGGGTGGGGGGGGAGAACAGCAAGGGAAGGGGTAACAGTGCTTGACAAGAAATGGACTCATTGCTTACTCGTGTAACTGTAGCCCCTCTCTGCAGCATCTTTACAGTAAAATAAAAATTTTAAAGGTAAATGCGACTTACGTTTAAGTACAGGTTAGCTACTTCATAATACTATGAACATATTAATCATAAAAGAATTGTACATCTCACAATGTGAAACTATTTTTACAACATGTAATTTTCATTTAAAAATTACCAATAAAGTCTACTAACCAGCTGGTAGCTCATGGCTATAGTCCTTACTACTCAGGAGGCTGAGATTTGAGGATCATGGTTCAAAGCTAGACTGGACAGAAGAGTGCATGAGACTCTTACCTGCACTGAACTAGCAAATGTAGCATGTTGATGGTACCTGTTGTTGCTGAGAGCCAGAACTAAATGTGTTATCCCTTAGGAACAAAGTATACAACATGGGTAGGTGACCTGAGAAGAGAAGAAAGATGACCTACCTTTTGTGCATTACAGATCGTTCCATTATTCACCCACATTTTCTGCCATTCATTATGATTCACTGGAAACTCCAGGGAGACGCAGACTTGTCCGCTGGCGTTGATGTACACAGTAATGGCATCTCGTAGTTTAAGAACCTCACTCCCTCTATATCTACATACTATTTTTCCACACTTCCGATTGCTACCATTTATTCAGAAAGGAAAATCATTCATTTTAATAGAGAAATTGTTGAATAGCATCTCTAGAGTGAGTAGAGTTAAATAGAACATTCAAGATTTGCAAGAGGGTCTACAATTTATTTTGCAACATCAAAAAAAGATGGTCTTTCCTGATTTGCTAATGATAATTGGACCATTTTAATCATTTTGAACCATCTCCCAGTTACTTGATTACTCTGTACGTGTGTGCCCCTTCCTCTCTCCCCCTCTCTCTGTGAATTCCTTCACTGTTTATTCTTAATCACAGTCAGATATAAGGTTATGCTATCTCTTAAATGATTGCTTGGTAATAACCAGTCCTGTTAGGTTTTCTTTTCAGCATAGCATTGTGGGTACCAAGCTGACAAGATCCTGAAAACCCATGCTGGAGAAAAGGGAAATGTACAACATACAGCAAGAAAACCTCAACAGCACATCCTGATCACAGAGAAAATTGTAAAAGTAACCGGAAAAGGACCATAATAAAATCAAGGACTTGCCTGGACCCCAGCAACTCACACCTGTAATCTTAGCTACGAAAGAGGCTGAGATCTGAAGATAGCGATTCAAAGCCAAGCTGGGCAGAAAAGTCCCTGAAATTCTTACCTCCATTTAACCTTCAGAAAGCAGAAGTGGAGTTCAAATAATAGAGTACCAACCTTGAGTGGAAAAGCTAAGGGACAGCACCCAGGCCCAGAGTCCAAGCCTCATACCAACTCTCTGTCTCTGTCTCTCTGTCTGTCTCTCTTAGACTAATGAGTGATATCATAAAGAGCCTAACAAAATATTTGTCTCCTTCCCACAAGAAAACAGGAGGTAATAATTAAGAAAATTCCTCCCTGGGAGTACTGAGTTAAAGGAAACATATCCAGCATTCTTTGTATTGAAGAGAATCTATTTTAGATGGAGCAGGTCAGCAGTATGAAGGGCAAGTAACTTTCCCAGATTCAGAAGGAACTTTTCTATTTCTCCTAGAGGACAGTGCTTATCATGGACTCCTGCTAGACTTTGTCAAAAAATCAGACACATAGAGGAATTATATAGATAAATCTAAATAAGGGAGTCCTAAGAGAGAAGGTAGCTTGAGAAGATTCTAGATACTGAACTTCCTTCCCACAAAATCAGGCCTAATCCAAGTCAGCTGGTCAAAAACAGCTCTTGCAAGTGCTGCACTAGCATGTCCAAAGCGCACAGCAGCAGGAGGCCGCACGCTGCTTCCTCAGCGCTCCAGCGAAGCATGAGCTCTCTCCTTACTGTGACTTTGTGTCTGGGCAGCTGCCCTTTCTGGCCTGGCCATGGCCTAGCATGTCGGGAACTGCGAAGAAGCAACTTAATGGTTTGAAGACAGCGCATCCATTGCAGAGAGTCTTTTTTTTTCTTTCGATTGTTGCACAAAAATGGAAAATTTCTCCTGATAAGGCAGTTAAGATCACACACGCCTCACGTGGCAACAAACCTCCACTGAAGTGGAGGCCCCCAGCTCCTGGATGAAACACCCCCAGACCAGCCTTCTGCCAAGGCTGTTCTGTAGGTTAACAGTCGGCCATCTTCCCTTAGCTAGCCCTTCACGGGCTAGGTCTCGATCTCCTCCCAGACCCCCCTGTGCTGTGAGCCAACACGGCCTTTGCGCAGTGAACACAGTTGAGAGGCAGGAAGCAAAACCTAATCTCCAATATGACCAGCGGACAACAGTGCCAGAAAACAGCCACAGATCTCTTTGGCTCAGCAGCAAGAACTCCTGACTAGCAAGCACAAGGTCCTGAGTTCAAACCCTAGCACTACAAAAACAAAACAACAACAGAAATTTAATGAAATTTAATGAAATTTAATCTGAAATTTAATGAAAATACTATTATGTAGAAAAACCAAATATACACCCAATGAAAAACCAAACCCAAGAACCCCCAACACACACAAGGATAATATATGTGGCATGTGAGAAACAGAAATACACTGTATTTCTTCACTTAGGACTTTGATCCTTTCATTAAATGTGGCTTTTTTTTTCTTCCAGCATTGGGACCTTGAACTCAGAGTCTGGGCACTGTCCCTGAGCTTTTCTTTTGCTCTCTACCACTTGAACCACAGCACCACTTTGGCTTTTTCTGTGTATGTTTGAGGAATCAAACCCAGGGCTTCATGCATGCTAGGCAAGCACTCTACCACTAAGCCACCTTCCCAGCCCATCAGTGAGGTTTCTGAAAGCTTACTTAGGTGCACACGCTTGGTATACTGAATCCTCGATGCCACAGTTTCCAGATATATCTGTCCTTGAATTCATTTCTTCAAAACATTGGTCACTACCAAAACCTGCTTCTGAAAGACATCAAACATACGGTAATTTAAAATGAAAATCACCTGGGAACACATTTAGCATTTTGAAATGGCCTAAAGTATATTACTATACAAGATGAAATCAAAATATAAAACTGAAAATGAGAACTAGGTTTACAAGACACCATGCGTGTTTATGAACATACAAAATCACTTTAGTAAAGTATTTAAAGGAGCTATTATTCACACACACACACTTTACACAGAGCCCAGCATTAACCTGCAGTTAACTTGTAATTTTCACAGGCCTTGAAAAATATCTGTAGGTACATACAGGCTATTTTAAAGAAATATTTAGCTCCCTAGCCAATATAATTATAATTTTGCATAAATGTCTCTTCAATTAAAACACCAAATAATCATTTATTTTGGCCACCTGAAATCTATGTACATAATTATTTAATTTTAATTCTCATGAGAACTACTTATTCTCAAACCCTCCGCTAGCTCTACTCTAGTTGAAGACAAGACAAAAGGCTTCTGCCAAACTGTTTGATTACTCCCTTGTGATGCTGGACTGAAATTTCTGAAACTGTAAGCCAAAGTTAACTTTTTTAAAAATTATGTTTTACTATCTTTAAGTAGATGTTCAGAGTGTACCCTTCTTTTTAAGTGGATTTTCTCAGGCATGTGTGATAGCAATGTCTCTCTCTCTCTCTCTCTCACACACACACACTCACATACACACATTCACATACAAACCTATAAAATTAAGATGGCTGATAAAACAGATAATCTCCCGATGAAGGAAGCCATGTGGCACTGGAGTAACATCGTTAAAATGCCAGAGAGGGAAAACCAAAAACATATTTCCAGTGGTTCTTCAAGGGGAGGTTGATGAAAATATTCAAGAGGAAGGAAACTTGAAACGACTCAAAGAAATAAAAAGATGTGCCTTGAATAAGAGAAGCAAGCACAATCCCCCCTTCTATCATTCTCAAAGATAATTCTCTAAAGCAAAACCAGAAGCAATGAGCTGAGAGCCTCCCGTGAGTACAATGTCATCTGAACATGGGAAGAGCAGGAGTGAAGCTCTCCATGTGTGAAGTGGTATAGAATGATTAAAAGTTCATTATAATTAATGAAAGGTAATCACAAAATCTAGGGCACCACACACACACACACACACACACACACACACAGACAGACAGACACACACACACACTTGGATGGAAACAAACAATTAGATTTTATAGTCCACTCCCCAAACAGTGGAGCGAGGACCGCTTGGAACCTGCTTTCTCAGTAAAACAACGAACAAAAGGGCATCAAACAATTCACAAATTCGAAAAAGTTTACCAAAATACTTAATCTGGCAGGAATAAAAAGAGCATCAGGAAACCTGACGACAGACAACTAAGGATTGATTGAAGAAAGCACTGGCCTGTGGGACCTGTCAAGCACCAAGGTCCCTGTATAAAAGGAACCCCAGAATGGAGGAAGAACACAGCGGGGACAGAGACACTGGTGAAGAAACAGTGAGTGGAATATTTAAATTAAAGAAAATTGTGAGTATGCAGAAAAGAAGACATTGGAGGCTTTGATGTGGTTTCAAAGAGACCCCTGCTTGGGTACATGGTCAAGCTAGCTACAAGACGCAAAGAAGCCTTGGAAGTGGCCCAAGAGCAATGGCTGATCCTAGGCCTCGAGGCTCAGTGAGATTAGCAGTTTAGAGGCAGAGCTCAAACCAACAGTTTTAAAAGAGAAAGTCGGTCAATCAGGAACTATGTTCAGATAAACTCTTTCTAGAAATCTGAGATAGACAAAATCAGAGAGCACTCATCTGTAGCTGACCCCCCTAAGATGCATGTGTTGGGGTGGAGGCATACTGCTGCTTGGTTTTGATCCCTGTTTCTCTTTAGGAGGATTTGTCCAAATCAAGCTAATGATACCTACTGTAGAAGCAGAGTCTTCCATGAGGTGATGTAGTGGTTTCTTTTGCCTTGATGCTATCTATTTAAAATAATTTTATTGAGATAATGCCCCAGAGATGAGAGGTAATTATGGTTTTCACTTCATGGCAGATGATCTTTAAGTTTCTAAAGATTCATGTTTATGGGCTGGGAAGGTAGCTCAGTGGTAGAGTGCTTGCCTTGCATGCCTGAGGCCCTGGGTTCGATTCCTCAGCACCACATAAGCAAAAAGAAAAAAG